ATAAACTCTAGAATTGACAGAGACATCTTCTTTCCTGAACAGTCCCGAAGGTCCTTTGTAACGTTGGGGCATCCCTCTTCAGCCCATAGGCTCAGAATGTCTTGTCAGACTTTTTTATGAAGCAGAAACACTGAGGGACCATCTTGTCCCTTGGCAAGTTCAGCAGTCACTTTCCTTTGTAACCTGCTTGTCCAGTTTGGACAGTATGCTGTCAAGCAGTCCAGGCAAGAGCTGTTTCTTGTCCAAATGGCTGTCCATGATACGTTGAAGGCAAACTCTATATTGAGTTTCTTTGATGCCATCTTCCTCTCTGATGTAATTGGTGTTAGGAACAGTTTATCTCATTGTCATGAAAAGCCCTAGTAAACTATTTTAAGTGCCACATTCTGTAGGTCTTGAAAGGTTTTGAAGAATACCTATCCATTTGAAATATATCTCTGTATATCTAGAAAATCTAGCTAACATAACTGTAAGTTTTGACTATTATGTCTGTATTTAATTATACATTTCATTTAAAAAGAGCTGTATAAACACAATACCTAAACAAGAATAGAAATATACATATAACAAAATTGACCTTAAATTTTTACCACTAAACCAAAATCCATACCAATGCAAAATATTCATTTCTATATCATAGGACTGCAGATGTTTGCAGCTGTGCCCACATAGTGAGTGCTAAGACTGCATTTGTGTGCTAGGACTGCAAAGGTGTGCTGCCATGCCAACATTATATTGTTATTTTAATTTTTAAATTAATCTTTATTTAAATTAAAACAACCTTATATTACATACCAATCCCAGTTCCCTCTCCCTCCCGTCCTCCCTTCCCCCCTCCACCTCCACATCCCTCTCTCCCTCTACTCCTAAGGGAGGGTGTGACCTCCCATGGGGGAATCATCAAAGTCTGTCACATAGTTTGGGGTAGGACCTAGGCCCTCCCCCATGTATCTAGGCTGAGAGAGTATCCCTCCATAGGGAATGAGCTCCCACTTGCTCAGGTCAACTGTTTCTGTGGGTTTCCCGGGCATGGTCTTGACCCCTTTGCTCATCTCTCCTCCCTCTCTACAACTGGATTCCAAGAGTTCATCTCATTGCTTAGTTGTGAATCTCTGCTTCTGCTTCCATCAGCTACTGGATGAAGGCTCTAGGATGGCATTTAATGTAACAATCATTCTTATTATAGGGGAAGGGTATTTAAGGTAGCCTCTCCAATATTGCTTAGATTCTTAGTTGGGGTCATCCTTGTGGATCCCTGGAGATTTTCCTAGGGCCAGGTTTCACGTTAAGCCCACAACGGCTCCACTATTAAGGTGTCTTTTTCCTTGCTCTCCTCTGTTCTTCCTCTCTTTTGAGGATGATATAATTTTAGAGGTAAGTGTTTAAGCAATTAAAAAATCAGCTTCCAGCATATTTTACTTTGCACAGTGCCCTTTTCATGGGGGCTATCCACTTTTTAATGAAAATGAATTAAGATTTTATATGAAAAAGAAATTATTAGCATTTTAATTTCTTTCAGAGTGGAAAGTTTTTGCAGCCTCTCCTTTTAGATGTCCAAAGTTTTACCCTGTGTCAATCAGATACCAGGAAAAAAATCTATACATTTATTTACTCATTAGCAGTTAATGAAATCCAGATTTTTCTCTGGTTCAGTTGGGTCAACTTTTGACCTACCTTTGCAGCATCGCCACCTGGTGGCAAGCACAGTAACCGCAGGAAGTAGGGTGATGTTAACCGAAGTACACACGCCTGGGAATCTATTTAGTCATATATTTAAAAAAATAATTAAGACATTTCTTCTCTGGCCTTGAGTTTTCGATGCAGATCAGGCCTGCCTCTGCCTCCTGAGTACCGGAATCAAAGGCGGATATCACCACAGCAGGCCATGCGCCTGGAGTCTTGAGTCAGACCTTTCAGGGGCTTTAGCAGAGAGAGGATCGTGTCTGTACTTCCAGACGAAGGAGAGGCCCATGCTTATTCAGGGATTGGTTTCTGCAGTTGCAGAACATGTAGAACTATTATTTAAAGTGGAATATGCAGTTGTACATGGGCACTTAGACAGAAATAAAAAAACCTAAATCCACAATAATTCTTGAAATATTGAGGTCATCTGCTCTAACTCGAGGTGGCTTCAAAATCTGATGTCTCTCCTGGAGGCAAAGATTGCTTGTCTCCTCCTTCCTTCCTCCTCATCTTTCTTCCCCTTATATCTATATCGTATCCATCCAGGTAGCTTAAGCACTCTGGCTTCTTAACCTTTTCTGCATTTGTGCTGTCATCTTGATGCTGTGGTTAAAGAACCAATACTGTGTGTTTGGTACAGAAAAACAATCTCCTCATTTGCATAAATTCCTTTTTTTTTTGTTTTTTTGAGACAGGGTTTCTCTGTGGCTTTGGAGGCTGTCCTGGAACTCACTCTGTAGACCAGGCTAGCCTCGAACACACAGAGATCCACCTGCCTCTGCCTCCCGAGTGCTGGGATTAAAGGCATGCGCCACCAACGCCCGGTTTATATGGATTCTTAATGTAGGAGCTTTCAGAAATAATGGGCAGGGGAGGAGAACCTTTTGTTTTTTTTCCTCCCTCCCATGTGACTGATTCTTGCTTGTGGTTTTAGGGGACCAGTGAGTACCATGCTTGATTTTTCTTCCCAACCTTGTAAGTAGTTGAGAAATGAGAAAATAGACAAAGATCAGCCTGCCTTCAATTTCCTCCTGAGAAAAGTGATCACAGATCTCTCTGTGGGTCTGTGGCCAAGTGGACATTTCCCACTTCACCTCTGAGTTATAGAAACACTGTCCTTGTTCCCAGCACAGACTCTCTGCTCAGAGAAAGAGGCTGCCTTGTGACAAAGGACCAGAGAGAGCACATCTGATCCTGCAAGCTGGCTGGTTCTGAATAAAAACTGAGAAAAGGGTAGAGACAAGCCAGCCTGGCTGCAGGGTGATAGACCAGCCAGCTCTACTGCTGCTCTGGGAAGCTGTAAGCTAGGGGTAGGCAAAAGCCCAGAGTATAGTTCTTGCGTCTCATAGAGAAATTTGCTTTCCTCCGCAGAAGTGTGAGAAAAGGGAGACCTGGTGTCCTCCCCAAACCTACAACATCATTTGAGGTTTTTAACTAAATGTTGTAAGGCAGGGAAGTCCTGCACTGTCTTTGACCTGAAATATGGTCAATAATTATTTTGATTTGTTGTCTCTGGAGATGTGGTTTTCAACTTCTGGAGGAATGAGTGGTTTTTGGTCAAGCATTCTTTGTAATAGTTAGAAAGCATACATGTTATAGTTCTGGCAGGAATAGACTTTTTTTAAAAATTTACTGAAGTTTTAATAGATTTTTAATTGGGGTTCAAATACAGACATTTGTACATGTTAGGCATAGGCTTTATTGTGGATCATTCCCCCTAGCTGGAAATATAAAGATTTTTGGTTACTTTTAAATTCCTATCAACATCATCCAGAAAATCCAAATCACAGAGCAGTTTGTTTAGTTGTGTCAGTCCTGAATCTGGAAGTGCTTTTCAATGACTTTATGGATATATTTTTATAATTTCTCTAGAGAGAAATAGATAGAAATTATTTTAAGAATTAAATGGCTGGAGATATAGCTCAGTTGGCAGAGTACTTGTCTAGCATGCATGAGGCACAGAGTTCAATCCCCAGCACTGCATAAAATGAACATTGTTAATGTACTGTGCATTCTTTCTGCCAGCCTGGTCCCTGAGCCACATCAGTCCTAAATGAACACCCAGGACACTATATTAATTATGAAGCTGTTGGCCATTTTCTATGGTTTCTTAATGGCTAGTTCTGACTTAATTATTAACCCATAATTACTAATATATATTTTCATAAGGACTCATCTTTCCAAGAATGCTGGACTTGTGCCCTCTCCTCCCAGGATCACATGGCGACTCTCTACTCTTGACTACATTTTCCAGAATCCCCCTTGACTCCTAGTCTCACCTATCTTGCTTTCCTATTGGCCAACAGTGCTTTATTTATCAATCAATAAGACAACATACACACAAAAGGACTTCCCCCACCAGGTTCACATGCTAATACTCGTGAGACAGAGGCAGGAAGAATAGGAGGTTGAATATTATCTTTGCCTATAAACCAAGTTTCTAGAACTAATGGTAGTAAGGACCAACCTACTAAACACAAAGGATGAATGAACAGGACCTGAAGCCAAGTGAATATCCTCATGTGTATTTCCCAAGGACCTGAGGTCCCTATGCATTAAGGACTTTTATCTGCTGACTTGCAGATGGCCTGTTTCACCCTGGTCCTCCACCACAGTAGAGTCAGCTTCTTATCATACAGCAAAGACCCTCAGCACACAAAATTCATGCTTGCAGATAGGTAAGTCCTGCCCTTAGTCTCTCCAGCGATGTCCACATTGAGCATTGCAGCACTTGTAGAAGGTGGTCATTGGCTCATCTGCAGAACGGGTCTGAAGCTGCATGAAGTAGGCACGGGGATGTTCACATTTTGGACATGGCTCTGCAGTGGAGTCCACATTCTCCCAGGCAGCTGCTCCACCAAGCACATCATCCACTTCTTTCAGCTTTGGATACTTTCGGTTTGTTACCTTGCGTGTGATATTATGCACGTAGGGGCAAGTGTTGCAGGCGAAGCGATAGCAACGAAGATGGTTCGAGGGCACATATATCTTTAAGATTTTGAAAATTTCAGAACTGACATTCCAGATTACTGTGGTATTTAAAATATGGTTCTAAATCTGAGCTTTTATTTCATCTATCAAGTGAGATTAACAATATTACTTTCCTGACCAAAGGATTATAGTGGGACTAAAACACATTAATCTTGGAAAATGGTTGACTTTGGGCCATGCATATAAGTAAATGCTCAGGAGGACTTGTCCACTAAGGAGTCCTTGCTTGAAAACTTCACTTTTGGCAGAAAGGGAAGTCCTTGTTCCCATGTCCTGGAAGTAGATATTTTCCCCTGTCCCTGACATCCTCAGTTGTTTCAAGATATTTCCGTGTGCCTTTGGGACCTTCATGCTGTGGCTGTCTTCCTTTCTGGCCAATGAAGAGCAGGTTCTTCTTTGTCTGCAGAGCTGTAACCATTTAATAGGTATTAGGTTCTTCTTTTTTTTTGAGTTTTTTCAAGACAGGGTTTCTCTGGGTAGCCCTGGCTGTCCTGGAACTCACGCTATAGACCAGGCTGGCCTTGAACTCAGAGATCCACCCACCGCTGCCTCCCAAATGCTGGGATTAAAGGCGTGTGCCGCCACTGCCCGACTTGGTATTGGATTCTAACTTGCCTAAGTAACGTTTTTCACTGTGACGAAGCTACAGGATGCCAGGTTGTTGGGCATGCTTCTCTAAACTATTGTGAAGACGTTTCAGTGCCTATAGCATAATGTATAGCTGCTTAGAGTATATCTACAACTACACACACACACACACACACATTAGTGTATAGCTGCCTGTAGAGTGTACAGTGCCTATATCAGTGTCTTGTCTCATTGGAATATTTTTTTAACGTTTTGTTTCATTTTGCTGTGTTTCTTCCCCTGTAAAATCAGAGAGGTTATAATTGTATTACTCCCCCCCCAAATTTCCTGGGAAATTCCTAAGATTGCTTTTAATGCTTAAATGTTCCAACTCAAGATGTTCCTGTGAGGTTTTCTTTATTCTAAGTTATGGGTTTGCCAAGAATTTGAGGTCAGACTGGGCTGTATAGTGAAACAAAACCAAACCAAACCCAAAGCAAAACAGAACAATAATATAATACTATAGGGAGACAAAACAGTCTTTACTTGTTAAAGATATATTTGTTTGGTTTCTACAGTTAAATTGTGGTTACCTTAATTACATTGTACCTCCAAAGGTGCCTCACATCTGTACATATACATTTTTCAATATGTATCCATGTGAAGATACTTTTTGAAGGCAGGGTTTAAATGACTTCAGCAGACCCAAGATAAATGGTAATTACGTATTTATTAGGGAAGCACTTACACAGATAAGAGTAAATACCCACTGTAGTCTTCCTGCTCCAGAAGATGCAGTCTCTGCCCTTCTGACGCTCTCGACCTCAAATTTGTAACTATATGCATACATATGTAAATCTCTAAATCAGAGGTAGAACTGTATAGTGTAACATGATAAAAATATTCTAAATTGTGTCAATATACAAAATATCTTAAGTATATGTAGAAGCATACATACATAGAATATGATAAAGATAGTTTTATATTTGTGTGCAAAAGCATCGTAAACAGAAAGAAGAACCTACAATTTTGAAATAATATACAAATTATCCAAGACAGGAATACAAAACTAATTTTACATTAGTTTCAATACACAAGAATCTATAAAAATGTAAGTTGTCTGTAGCTAATAGTTGCTAAAATAGTTCACAAGAAGATATATTAATCTACCTATATTCCATCCCATCCATACCCCTTATACTTTTCTAAGAGAAATTCCTGAGTCTGAATGTCATTTTCCATTCACAACCCTTCACAACTTAAAACCAACCCTTAGCAGGTGATAATTACCCATTTTCTAGGAAAAAAAACCCAAAACACCATCTAAGCCAATTGTAGGGAAAGGGGGCATTGTATTCTTAGAATTACTTCTAGCTGTCATGGGTGAAGGTGGAAGCTATGGGGATCCTGTAGGGAAAAACAAACAAAAACAAAACCAAAAACAAAAATAAAGCAATGGTTAAGTCTCAGGAGGACTAGCTGTAACATTTGTAGCTGGTCTCTGAGTGGCAGGTGATGCTTGTCTGAAGTTTTTATCTGAAGCTCTGGCCAGAGTGTTATAAGGGTACACCATCTCAGCTAGCTAATCTGGATTTGTCTAGAGCAGTTTTAGTCCCAAACCAATCCTTGAGTGGTGTTTACTAGTTCAAAGACATCAAGTTGAATCAAGTGGAATCAATGTTGTGGGGGCCCCTTCTTCTTTCTGGAGACTAAAGATTTCTGTTATAAATTTTATTGTTCACTGTGAAAGACTTAAATGTCAACACGGGAAGTTCAAGTTTTATAGGTATGCATACTGGGAAAGGTATCAATAAGGAAGAAAATAAGTATGAGGAAAATTAGGATTTTTTTTGAGAGATAACAGTTTTGACAATAATAGTCCTTAGATTTTTGTTTTCTTCTGTCTCACACCAGTTGGCTCTTCTGATATGAGACAGAAACTCTGAATATTTCTTGTAACAACATGCTTGGATTCAGAGAAGGAGAGTTCCAGTCGAACTCCAAGGCCAGCTTTGATTTTTACATGAATTGGGACTTCTACTGTACTGGGAAGTAAGGAGATATAGGTGTTCAGGTAGAGAGACTTTACCTTGTATAGATATTGGTACCACATGTCAGATCTTCTTTGTTTGATGATTCTTTCTGGATAGATATCCTTTCTTCTTTAGGCATCTACACGTCCCATGTCTTTTGGCTTCTTTGTTTGATGATTCTTTCTGGATAGATATTCTTTCTTCTTTGGGCATCTCCACGTCCTATGTCTTTTGGCTTCTTGAAGATGGGTATTTTCTGTTTTCCTGCAAAAGCAAGAACAGAACCCGGCTCTGACCTTTGTGAGGTTTCCTTACAACTTGTGGGATTTACCTTGGTGGATGACCTATCATTTCTCCTCATCAAGAGGTTTCTCCTGTTCAAATTGAATCTTGATTAGCTTTGACGGTATTCATAGCTTTTATTCTTCTGTAGATTCAAAAGTGAAACCCCTTCCCCAATGTAGCACATATCCTGGTTTTCATTCTGAGGTCAACACATCCTTGAAGTGCACCCAGTGATTTATCTTGGAAGTTTTTTTTTTTTCTATTGTCCAATGTCTTTCCACTGCTGTTTTTCCTTTCTCATTAGCATTAAGAAACTTCAAGGTTATTAAAACATTATGCAGTCTGTTTTTTGGGGGTCTTGCTTCCCCCTGACTGTTTAAGGTGCAATTAGATCTCTCAACAGCTGCTTGTCCTGTAGAATTGTGTGGTATACCTGTAATATGCTTTATGTTAAAATATTTAAAAAACTGTTTCAATGTACTGGAGACAACCCCAGTAGGAGGAAAAGGGTCTTAAGAGCAGACAAAAGTAAGCAGTACCCCTGTTCCCACTGTTAGGAATCCCACAAAAACCTCAACCTAAACTACCACAGTATGCATGTGTGCAGAGGACCTAATGCAGACCCAAGCAGGGTCCCTGATTGCCACTTCAGTCTCTGGGATCCCAGCTTAGTTGCTTTTGTGGGCTGCGTTCTCTTGGTGTCCCCAACCCCTCTGGCTGCTATAATCCCTTCTTCCTCTCTTCCACTGCATGTTTACACTAACGTGTTTCAAACCAAGGTCTTGCTTTGTAATTAAAAAGGTTTTGAGTTCATCAAGAAGCTGGAGAATGTGTTTTAAAACTCTTCCTCTGGGCAACCATCTCACTTCAGTGTGAAACAGCAGAGCTTCGTTCTCAAATACAGCTCTCTGCACAGTTGAGAAAACAGTTGACTGTTTAAAGTACTTGCTTTTACAAAACTGGCAGAAGTTAAGATGCTTTTCACTACTTCTTGCCACCCTTGTGGCATCATCTTAGTTGACAGTATTTACGACGTGAGTTCTGATGACTTTTAGTGACTCATTCAGTACCTAACACTGAAATCTAGAGTGACATGCTACCACAGCCAGAACACCCTCTGTGTAAACACCACAGCCCCTTTCCCAAGAGATCTCGTGTTGTTTCAGAAACGAACCAACTATGTCAAAACACACCACATGCAGTAGTTGTTTCAAGAGGGTTGCACGAAGGAAACTCACCTTTAAAGCTGCCATTATTAATATGCCTTACATAAATTAGTAACTGAGAACAGTTTGCAATGTCTGTAGATTTATCCAGCTGGATACTAAACACTGGGGTGGAGCAGATTTAATCTGGATTATCTGATCAAGCAGCAGACATGCCATCTAATCTTCTGCGGACGGTGTTGTTAGGTAAGGAAATGCTCTCAATTGCACAACACAGTCCTCTCTGATCATAACGGGGGCACTCTCTGGTTACTGGCAACTGTAAATCCCCAGCAATGGTGTGAGGTTTCATACTCTGGTAAATCTCAGTGTCTCCAAACACAAACCTCCAGTGGCTGCTGCGTTTTATTTCTGGAACATGCCACCAGTGTCAAGTCTGGCTTTCTTGAGTCCCTCCGCTTTGCTTCTAAAATAATTGGTAGCCTTGCCATCCAAGGTCTTGTGTTTGCTATCAAAATGGCATTTAGTCTGCGTGGCTTCATGGATTTAGCTTATAGAACTTCACAACAAAACTTTACATTGTGGTTTCTCAGTTCCTGCAATTACTTAGGTAAAACCATACTTAAAAATCCTCACTATGTTTTCTTCTCTTAATTTCCGTCTCTACACAACCCATTGCCATAGATTAAAAAAAATGAAAATAACATGTTACAGTAGCTTTAATAATGAAAGATGATACATGGTGTAGTTCAGTCAGTACAGCTCATTAACGTTTCCCATGATCACCATTTTTTTTACATACCTGTTTCTATCACAAGGGGGCAGTGTTCACATCAACCACAGCTGTGTATAAAAAGACCAATCAGCGATCCCCCTCCATCTTCGGGGCTGCTCCCGGCTTCCAGAAGAGCCGCCCACACAGGAAAGAGATCAGCCCCTCCAAGATCCCAACCCCAGGGAGCCCAGCTTCAGGTGAGATTGGGTCTCCAGCGGGGACCGCCCGCCCATCACCCATCCCCCTCCATCTTCGGGGCCGCTCCCGGCTTCCAGAAGAGCCGCCCACACAGGAAAGAGATCAGCCCCTCCAAGACCTCAACCCCAGGGAGTCCAGCTTCAGGAAAGAGATCAGCCCCTCCAAGACCCCAACCCTAGCGAGTCCAGCTTCAGCATCCCCAGCTTCAGCTGCAGTAAGGAAGGAGACCAGTGGAGACGGAAAGACCCCACCAGCACCCACTGGAAGAAGAGATGGGAAGAAGACAGAATAAGAGATCACTCAGCAATAGAAACACCAACATGACCCCACCAGAATCCAGGGATCCAACACCAGCAAGACCCGAAAAGCACTACATAGATGAAGAAGAGGAGACAGACCTTAAAAATTATTTCATGAAGATGATGGAGACC